ATATATATATATAAAAGACCAAGTTTGCTGGTCTGGTAGAGCCTGGTAGAACCCCTGAGACTATGGCCCCTAGTCACCCTTCAGGTCTGGGATTGAACTTACTCTTCTGACTTCCAGCCAAATAATAGACAAGCACATGGGCTGAATGTTTACATCAGGTAGATACACTCCTTGGAGTGATCAATCATGGGAGAATAGATGGGCAGGGTTTGCACAGGGAGACAGGTCGGAGGGGTGGGAGTGCATGGGAAGGAAGGGCAGAGGGAAGAGTTAACTACAGGGAGGAAATAGAAAGAGAGCTGTTACATTGTGGGAAATTGCAGTCAATATCGTGAGACAAAATGTGTATGAACTGCTGTACAGAAAATGAATTTGCTCTATAAACTTTCACCCAAATCACAATTAAAAAAAAAAAAACTTAGGTTTTAGGAATCTATGAAATTAGTCATGTAGGTCCTCAAACTATTTGCAACCTAAAATCAAAATTTTAGGCTACACGGGCTAACTTAAACATGGCATTTCAATTCTTTCGCTTGGAATTTTATCACCTCAATATGGTAGCACTGCTTGGTTCCTGCTTTTCAGAAGGTCTGGTGGGATTTTGGTTAAATAGAATGGCAAAAACAATCATTATTATTTTTTATAAAAGCTATTTCCTTCAAACAAAGTATTTCAAAATACCTTATTTGTATAAAGGAAAGAAGAGGATATCATGACAAGATGATCCCTTTTCATTAAAAAAAAAAAAAAAAAGGGTGAGAATCTCTGTTCTACATTTTAATGATGCCTTGTAATGCCCAACTCCACATGTAATAAATTAGCCAAATATTTATTGAAAGAGCATGAGGGTGTATGTGTGAGGGAGGCAAAAATGTATGACTTGGTCCTGCCCTGGATTAGTTTATGCTCTATTTCAAGTTACAAAATACACACTTGAAAATGAAAGAGTACAAGGTAACATATCAGGGTGGGAGGAATTTGGGCTTGTAGTCAAATACTGGGGTTTGAATCAGCTCTGCCATTTATTTATTCTGTGCTATGACCTTGGGGCAAGTCACTTCTCATCTCTGCAGTGAGAAGGAATTGAGTTAATGTTTAGAAGGAGTTTAGCAATAACATTTAGAAAACAGTCACTTTTCAATGGATGGTAGCCTGCTCTTCCAATTTTCTCTCCAGAAAATACAACCACTGCATTTCTTTCTAATACAAACCTTCCACTTAAATCCCTTCAGTTACTGAGATTTGAAAACTGGCAATGCTGTTTCTTTCTACTCAGTTACCAGATATTGTGGATTCTACTGAAGTATCTCTGGAACTTTTTCTCTATTACTAATCTCATTCACTACCTTAGCTCTTGAATTTAATAGTTATTGCCTACATTACTACTTTAGCCACTAAATATTGTCCTATATCTGCTTCACAGCATTTTATTTATACTGACATCAGTAATTTTCCTAACATGAGAGTCAAATCATGTCACATTTATTCTCAAAAACCTTTAATAGCTACTCAACAGAATCCATACCAAAACCAAACCCACTGACATCGAGACAATTCTGATTCACAGCAACCCTATAGGACAGAGTAGAACTGTCCCATAGTGTTTCCAAGACTGTAAATCTTTACAGAAGCAGACTGCCTCATCTTTCTCCCACAGAGCAGCTGGTGGGTTCAAACCACCAACCTTTTTGTTAGCAGTAAAATACCTTAACCACTGCATCACCAGAGCTCCTTACCCAACAGAATAAAGGTCCATTCTTTAGCATGGTGTTCAAGGATCTCTATGATCTATAGTTTTAGTCTTGTCTTTTTCTACATCTTTCAAAGACCCACCCCCTAGCTACACTGAGCTACTTTTTTAAACAAGTCACAAACTTCTGCCTTCCTGCCTCATGCTGTCCACTCAGAATAGATTATCTTTTTTTTTTTTTTTTTTTTTTATGTCTTCCCCTCTTCTCTTACCTTTATGACTTAGTTCAAAAGCCAATCAATCCTTCATTTTGCCCTTCTCAGTTTACCCCGGTGGAGTTCACCATTCATTCATCCTCATTCTCACAGCATTTCGCTTAGGCTATTATTGTACTATTTAATTTATTCAACCTTACATTAGTGGTTATATCAGCCTCTTTCACTAAATTATTACTTTCTTGAAGGTAAAGACCATGACTTACTTTTAATTCCATCAAACATTGTCTAATTTAGTGTTTTACACATAATTTTTTTTCCATTTTCTTCATCAAATATTTGTTGGATGGTTAAATAAATACATAGACAAATAAATATCAGGAACCATCAACCAGGATAACTTTATCCTGGGAGCAAAAGGATGTTCTTGTCAGTAGCTTGATTCTTCACTGCTGTTAGATTCAATTAATGTTAACCTATCCATTAACAAGGACTATTGCATCCCCTTTACGTTTCTCCACTTTGGATGACTACTTAAAAAACAAAACAAAAACATACCTATCTATCTATCATATGCTTCTCATTCCTATGTCTTTTTTAATTCATTTTTCATCTTTGTAATTATTTGTGTTTCACATGGTGCTTATGTGATAGCTACACAATAAATAGCCACCATGTTTATTCAATATCATAAATCTCTCATGGTGGCTCCATGAAGAAAAGACTATGGAGTGTGGACCTCTAGGTCCTGAATGCCTAGATTAATACCTAGCACATAATGGAAGCATAATAAATATTTGTTCTTGTTAAGTTAATAATGTTCAGGAATAAAGTCTGTTTAAAATAATCTTCTTTCCTATGATTATTTTTATTTCCTTTTATGTTTTCCAGTTGAAAATGACCCACACTTCATCATTTACCTTCCAAAAAGCCAAAAGAATATTTGTTTCAATATTGACTCAGAACCTGGAAAAGTCCTCAATCTGGTTTCTGATCCAGAATCAGGTAAAATAAAAAGAAATTACATTTGAATTAGAAAAATGTACAATTGTCATATTTCACTGCTTTTTTTTCTTTCTCACCTTAATTGAAGTCCTACATGTTTCAAATACCAATAATTAGTGAGAAATTAATTATAAATATATTCTTAAGCATTTTGAACTGTGATAGGTACAATATTCTCTTTGAATAAGAAGAGTGATATAACTAAACTATAATATCAGTATAAACTAAGTGTTGTAAGAGAAAAACATTTAAATTCTGAAGTGAAATAATAATAATTTTCCAATATTGTCATGCTTTATAAATTTGAATATTGGTACACACACATGTACACACATGTATGTAATGGCCCACAAGAGAGAAAACTTTTTTTTTTTTTTTTCTGTAGGCATTTTGGTCAATGGTCAGCTCATTGGTGCCAAGAAGCCCAAGAACAATAAACTAAGCACCTATTTTGGAAAGCTGGGATTTTATTTCCAAAGTGAAAACATGAAAATAGAAATCAGCACTGAGACCATTACCCTGAGTCATGGTTCCCACGTGTCCACCTTGCTCTGGGCTGACACAGTGCGCATCATCCATCAAAGGCAAGTATCACCACCTATCACTGGAATTACGACTTGTTCTTGACACATAACTATGTAAATAAACCCAGACATCAGCAACGTAAACACAGAACTTAAAATCATCATTTTAAATATGAAGAAGCTGAGGTTCAGAAAAATGTTTATCCACTACCCTGCTCCCTGGCAGCAGGGACCTTATGTTTTGTTCGCCATTGTGTCTCAGCCTTGTACAGCCTTGTGCCTGGCATGTTATTGTTGTTGGTATGTGCCGTCAAGTCGGACCCGACTCATAGCGACCCCTCCTTGGGTTTCCGAGGCAGTATCACTACGGAAGTAGATTGCCCCATCTTCCTTCCAAGGAGTGGCTGGTGGGTTTGAACCGCCAGTCTTCTGGTCAGCAGCCAAGTGCCTTAGCCACTATGCTACCAGAGCTCCCTGTGCCTGGCATACACGTGATAATTACACAATAAATGTTTTGGATAAGTAAATGAATCCATCTACTCAAATCCAAAGCAGATTCTGTTTCGGTGTACTCAGAAACATTGCATTGTATCTTCTGCATATTACCTTTCCAATTAAACAAAAACCAAAACTACTGCAATTGAGTGAGTTCTAACTCATAGTGATCCCCACAGTGTTTCCAAAACTATAAATCTTTCTGTCTCATCTTTCTCCTGTGGAGCAGCTAGGGGGTTTGAACACTGACGTTTAGGTTAGGAGCCCAATGCCTTAACCATAGCACCACCAGAGCTCCTTACCTTCCCAATTAGTATCTGTTAACAGATTGTTCATACACAAACATATGAATTGACAAACTTTTAGATCCAGGAGCTAAAACAACAACATGCCATAGCAAAAACATTGCTTTTTTACCTTTCTCACCTTAATTGAAAACTGGTGGAATTATACTGGGAGGGATGGAGAGTTAATATGAGGGATGAGAAGGATGACATTTTCAGAGTCTGTTCCAGAACAGTCAACTCCATTTTGACTTTCACACTAGGGTGCTTGTCTCAGTGAAGAAAGAAAAAATTGTGACTATCACCCTGGATAAAGAGATGTCCTTTTCTGTTTTACTTCATCTTGTTTGGAAGAAGCATCCTATCAATGTAGACTTTTTGGGGATCTACATTCCCCCTACAAACAAGTTTTCACCTAATGCACATGGACTAATAGGTAAAGTATCAACCATCTGGCAAGTGTGGGCAGTACTCTAAGTTTCAGCAACTTTGGATGATAGCAGTCACAACTTGGGGAAATGGTAGGTATGAGCTCAGGAAAAGCACAGGGAGGAACATAGTGCTTCGGGGGTAACTCAGGAATGGCGCATCTTCCATTCCAGATAAGGTTTTCCCAGAACCAGAATTTCATAATCACAAATGGGAATATTAAGAGAAACCTAAAAAGCAAGCCAGTTGCTTTCCAGTTGATTCTGACTCATGGCAACCACGTGTGTTTCAAAGTAAAACTGGGCTCCATAGGGTTTTCATTGGCTCTGATCTTTTGGCAGTAGATTGCCAGGTCTTTCTTCCAAGGGACCTCTAGGAAGATTCAAACTGCCAACATTTCAGTTAGTAGACAAATGCCACCTAGCTGCCATGTTAAGAGAAAAGAAAGATAAATGGCAGATAAATATTAAGTCTTAAGCTAAAGAGCTTTTCCAACGAAAGAAAAGTGAAGTGGTTTAGGAAGTCTGTGATGCCAAGCAGGGAATCAACTTTCCCTAGTTTTCTAAGAATGGTTCAAACTTTAGTATATGGCATCATAATCAAACCTCATTTCTGAGATTTGAGCTATGCTTTCAGGTGTTAGCCTTTAGCCCCCTCCCGTCAGGGTTTTCATTTTATTTGTAGTCTTGGCAGGTCAATGTCATATAAAAAATGACCATGAGCAGGGCAGCATGTCAGAAAGGAATTCCTCCCTCATTTCGCTACTCCCTTTTTCTCTCAACATAGTTTTCTACCCTAGAAATTCTGGAAGGAGAACCAAAGTTAGCTTGGATTGAATGAAGAGCCTGTCTCTTTGTTTAACTATGGATTAGATGTAGATAAATGTCTAGACTTTGTTCTATTAGGCCAGTTCATGCATGAGCCTGAGATTCATATTTTCAATGAGAGACCGGGAAAGAACCCTAAGAAGCCAGAAGCAAGCATGGAAGTAAAAGGACAAAAGCTGACTGTCACCAGGTAGGCCGCAACGTAAAGTGCAGTAACATAAAGAAGTTCTGTTAGGATTGGACCAACATAGCAAAGAGGAGCAAGAAAAGCTGCTTTAAGTATTACTTCCCTCAAACTAAACAAACAATTCATTAGAAATAAATACATACATACATACTTTTGAATAAGGACACTCAAGATAGTTCATCTCTAAATGCAAATAATAACTAAAATCAAAAACCAAACCCACTGACATCGAGTAGATTCCGACTCATAGTGACACCCATTGGGTTTCCAATCTTTACAAAAGCAATTGCCTCATCTTCCATGGAGCAGCTGGTAAGTTCGAACCACCAACATTTTGGTAAACAGCCAAACGCCTTAACCACTACACCACCAGAGCTCCTTATATAACTAGATATAGAAATATGTCATAAAATGCCAAGAGCAATAAGCATATCAATCATGTGTTCTCATCTGCATATATTAGATGCCCTATAGTGACAAATTGGATAATTGGAAAGGTTGGTCAAAGGCAGGAATTATAAATATTGCCATGTACCATTGTGCTCGAGAATGTAATTTTTAGGTAAGACCAGAACCTTCTTTTTGAATATGTATCTACTGAATGCGTTTTTGAGTACCTTTTCTTACACAAACTATAACCATAAGGTTTCATTTTGAAATGAGGACATAGATACTTAACACATATTCTGAGCGTAAAACTCTTAGAAAACTTTCTAATTTTCCCCAGTTGTCTCACATCTAATTTGATATTATTTTTAGCATTTTTTTTTTTTTGCCTTTTTAGAGTTTTCACAAAGCAGCCAACTTTGCTTTATTAGAGAGAACTGTAACAGCACAAATGCTATTGACTTCCATATAGCTAATGAAATTAAGTATATTCCATATTCTTAATGAAACCATATTTTATTATAATAATTAAACCAAAAAGTACAGCCACAAAAATAGATTTGTGGATTTAAACAAAAGGACTCTTAGTAAGCATGCCACCCAACTGGTATCAGCATGGCAGAGAGCAGGTAAGTTATCGATAGGCATCAGTGGGCATGTTTTATAGAGCAAAAAGGTGCACATCAATTAATAACAACAATAACATTATCTCAGGTTGGTGAAAGAGAAACTGTTATATGCTAATTCCAAAAGACCATTGTTGGGCTACGATTTCATCTACTAGGAACACTTCTTGATACAAAACTGAAACTGAGTTGGCATGCGGGCGATGCATAATTACATATTGTTAAGGCTCCTTCATGCAGTGTGTCATAAACTCTTCAAATCATTGGCTTCTTTATTCTCAAAGTATTGAGTACATGCATTCACTTGGAAATACCTGGTATTACATATAAATAAAACACCCATCAAGTAAAGGTAAGAGGGCACCTCAGCTTCATTCTTCACCTAACATTTAAGGTGGACCCACTACCTTCTTTCTACTTCAGTTTCTTGCTGGATAAGTCCATATTGTTATTATCTCTATAGAAGTTATTAGAATCACTTAAGGATGAAATGCTTATTCTCTGTCCTTCCAACACTAGTGTCCAGACTCTGATATTTCATGTGACTTAGAAACAAGAATGGAAGGGGTAGGGGACACATGGTGATAGAATACCAGGCTAACCATGCCTTGGTCTCTTTCCTGACTATGCATATCATTTTCCTTGCAGAGGCTTACAGAAAGACTACAGAACAGATACAGTATTTGGAACTGATGTTTCCTGCTGGTTTGTACATAACAATGGAAAAGGTTTCATTGATGGACATTACAAGGATTACATTGTGCCTCAGCTCTATAGCTATCTCAAATGGCCTTAAAGGATTATAAATAAAATTTTGAAAATGATTTGTATGCATACAATTTTTCTCTGCCACTTTGTAGTCAGTCTTCAGTTTGAATAATTAAAAACTAACCATAATTAATGGTGGTTTACAGAACCTGTTAAAATGTCTAAAGAAAATAAATACTTTGCAAAGAAGCTTTAGGATTTTGTTGCATTTTCAACTGCTAAGGTGTGTGCAAAAATGGAGAGGAGGCCACATGTTCTGACCTCCTCTAATCTCACAAGAGGAAGACAGCAGTAACCCAAGGCCTATTACTGCAAGGCCAAACATGCTGCCTCCCTCCAGCCCTTTCACCAACCGTTCCTCCCAAAGCACCCACCACCTCCTGGGTTCGATAATTCACTGCAGTGGCCACACAGAACTCACAGACTACAGGGTTTATTAGGGAAGCACCAGTCTACAACTCAAGTTCAGGAAGAACGCTCAGTCTCTCTCCCAGCCCACCGTCCCTCAGCCAAGAGTCTCTCACAGTCTCTTTCTGGGGTGCGTGTCTCTTGCATCTCTTTCCCAGCAACGCGTGTCTCAGGAGCCCGTGCCTCTTTCAGCAGCAAGTCTTCCTCGACCAGCAGTCCGAGAGAGTTCTGCCTCCAGGAGGTCTCCTTTAGAGCCCGCAGGGTGGTCAAACTAGCCAATTATGGTATCAGAACTCTAAGCACCTGAGAGAGAGTGGGCACCTCCCAGAACATTGTTTTGTGCCACTCCCAACAGAAATACTCCAGGTGGACACCTTCAGCAATCAGGAGCTCCTCAGTTGCTCATAGCAAATTCCACCTTGGAGTTTACAAAGACTTATGGGTAGAAAAGCCACACAAAGTAATTTACTACACTGCAGTGTGTTAAGGTGATGGAAAGGAAAGCTGGCCTCCAGACAAAACCCTTGATTCAGCATTTCCTATGATAGTTCGATATTGTTCCCAATTAAGTACATTTTTATGCTGTCAATTACATGTGAATTTCAATGGTGAGAGTGTTATTTGGTGAACATGTAAGGAAAACAAGGGAAATTCCTTGATATCAGTTGTTTTATAGCTAATACATACTAAAGTCCTGACACTCCTTAAGGATAGCATTGCCGGGCTATCTGTGATGCCAATAAGCTCAACCAAGATTCCCTCCACAGTGTTGGTCCCTTTTCAGTCCACGATGCCTCAGTTGACCAGCCTCATTCTACTCATAGTCATTCTTCACATCAAATGTAATACAATCATATAGGTTTCTGCTCATTAAATTCCAATAAGGTAAGAGTCCTGATTCCCTGAAATTGTAAGATCACCTAGGAGAATTTGCTGCTCCAAGTCTTCACATATTTAAAATCAACTGGGATACTACTGCAGATGGCTAACTGCATAGTGCTAATATTGCTAAATGAATTCTGAGAGAATCATAGTTCCAAATTCTCTGGAAGCTTCCTCTGTGAACCAAATTTCATACAAATTTAACATACCTTGAACGCAGTCTTCCTTAGTACTCCTTGTAGTCCTCCTGTTTGTATTTAAACAATTCCTAAAAGTAACACATTTATATTTTAAACCTTTTATTTATTTAATAGTTTATTGATTTCATTTAAAAATAAATTAAAAATTATGTCATAACAAAAGGCAAATGACATTTATAAAGCAGAATGAGTAAATAACAAATTTTAAGCAAACTGCTGACTTTATGATGTCTGCATTAGTGAATGTTTGGTGATAAGGTGTAAGTCTAATCCATTATAAGTCTGTGCTTTGTTTACAATTTTTAAAAAAAAATCTAAATTAAATATACTTAGAAGTGGTCAAATTACACTTTAAAACAAACTTAAAAGGTTAATTTTTCCGAAGCTCTCTTTCTATAATTTGGTAAAAATCATTTCATTTTAGAAAGTAGACAAAATCACTCCTTTTTGCACATACTCAACCCTTATTTGGAAAAAAGAAAGAAAGAGATTATCTTTTGGCTTAACTGTGAAAGATTAAAGAAATGTGATTATTTCTATAATCTAAAGAACCTCATTACTGAAGAGGTAAATGGCACTGCCCTTGAGTCTCATTCTTCTATAAAAATTGGACACCTGGGACAGATTTAAATAACAATCTACTGCATCTTTTCCATTTGTCATTTCAGAAATACTAACCTTGAAATGCTGATATTCAACATTTATGGTAGATCCCACCATGGAGTTGATATTTGATATTCAACACAAATATCAAAAATGAGTCCTTGAAATTATTACTTGGTAAAAATCTTGACTTGTAAAATTCTACCTTTAGAAATATAAACTTAGTTTGACTCTTAATGGTGCTCAGTTGAAAATAATCATGAAAATCTTGGGGTTTATCTTTAAATTCAGGATATTGGACAACAGTATCCTGAAGGCTCCTCCTACCTCATGCAGCTGCTGGCTGCTGAGGCTGACAAACCCAAGATTGGCAGGTAAAATGGCACAATACCAAAACTGGCAGGTAACATGGTAGGTCAGTGGTTCAAGTCTAGGAACTGGAGATGAAGACTGAACCAAATACAGGATCTTTTTTATATATACAAAGAGCTCTGGTGGCATAATGCCTAAGGCATCTGACTGCTAACCAGAAGGCTGGCAGTTCAAATCCACCAGCCACTCCTTGGAAGGAAGATTGAGCAATCTACTTCCATAGTGATACCACCTTGGAAACCCAAGGATGGATTGCTATGAGTTGGATCAGTTTGTTTTGGTTTTTTCATATATACTGGAAGCAGGCCACACCCTGAAGGCAAATCTTCAATTGATTAACTGCGCACAGCAGATTCTACCATGGAGGTGATTACACAATCCCATCATGGGGAATAACCACATCCAGCTGCCAAGAAACTCAAAATCACAGCCTAGCCAAGTCGACACACAACCTTAACTAACACGATGTCTTAATGCCAGGAAGACAGAAAGAAGCCTTATATTTAAGAAAAATCTGATTCTTGTCTCAGATCATAACTTTGTCATAATTGTTTATTAAGCTTTCTTAGGGTTGGAAAACTGTCAAACTTATTAAAGAAAATAAAATAAAATGTTTAAAGAATTACTCATTCAATGTTGATTAAAATGAACCATGGATCAGGAGTTATTTTAGTGTCTACTGGTATGAGGTTTTATGCAAATGACTCTACATGCTTTAAAGGCTCACTTAATACTATACAAGTGGCATCTTCTCTTCAGCCTCACCCTTACTTGAAAAACACAGTGACTCGAAAGATGAGTAAGAGCAAAGTAAAAATTACATGGATGTCTGCATACATACAAATGCTTATATGCTCTAAGAATTTAATATCATTTTTTTAATTAATACTTCCTCACACTGGCCAGATATACAATGGTGATGTCTTGTGAAATATCCACCTAAGAGAAAGAAAACAGGGATGCTCACCTTTAATGATAAAATGATTCAATTCTCCAATTAAATTTCTGGGGTCATGTCAGTAAGGCTAATGACTAACTTACAATCAAGGATGATTCATATTTTAAATCCTGCAATTCCATTTTACTGAAGTAGGAAACTGGGTATAATGGTACCCAGTTATTAGTCTTATTTTCTCTTTTTCCAGGTTGAATAGGTGGTTGAGTTTACCTAGGGGAGGATAATCATATTTGTTGTTCCTTGGGGAGGCAGGTCTACAAACAATGCCAAAGGGCTCAGGGCAGGGGAGGGGAGCTGGGCAGGGGGACATTATCTGACATTTTATACGTTTCTCTGTAGTTCTCACAATCACCCTGCAAAGACACTTTATTTTTGACAATTTATAGATTAAAAACACTGAAATTCAAGAACATTAAACTTTTCTAAGATTATACAGTTAGTGAACAGAACATCCCAAATTCAATCTAAAGTCAGCCCAACTCTAAAACCTATACCCTTTCCCATGATACTTTACTGTCTTTTCTGAAACACCTCAGTTCATCCAGGAAGAACATTTTCTGTAAAGCTACTGACATCATCCTATCATTTCTTATACTGCCTGTTATAGTTGCTTCTACTTACCAGCTTATACTTTTCTACTTTCCAATAATAGACTTTGTGTTCTGGTTACCTTGTGCTACTCTGACAGGAATATATACCACAAATGGGATGGCCTTAACAAACAGGAGTTTATTCTTACAGTTTGGAGGTGTTAAGTCCGAGTTCAAAATGCCAGGCTCTAAGAGCTGAGTGAAAGTCCCTCAACCTTGGGTTTAGCTCTCCCTCCTGCTCCCGGCCCACTGGAGCTAGACAGAGGCTATTCTTCACTCAGACAGCTGCTGGCTGCTGAGACTGACAATGCCAAGGTTGGAATGTAAAAAGGCACAGTCCCGATGTTACCAAACCACATGGCAGGCCATTAATTCAAGTCCATTGAAAGTCCCAAGGTCAGCAGAGTATGACAGGCTGCTGAACAACAACACAGCCACACTCAAGGTTCAAGCATGCCATAAGCCTAGAGACCATTCCCAAAGCTGCTGCTTATACACGGGAAGCAGACCACATCCCTAAAGCAGCTACTCAGCTGCTTGTGGTAGATCCCACCATGGAGTTGACTGCTAGTCTCATCATGTGGAACAACTACCACCAGCTGCCCAGCCACTCAACCAGGCCCACCCAAGTTGATACACAAACTTACCCACCACATTAGAAATCCACTTTTTCCTGACTTCAGGCCAAAGACAGATGGCTCAGGGGTTGGCATATGAACTAAGTCTGGCAAATAAATACATTCCAATCTTATTTGGAATATGGTACAGGTGTGGTCCAGTAAGACTCAATTCCAGGCCTTTTGTCTGAGCTACCATTAAAAAAAAAAAAATCAGGAGTTACGGTAGGATGGCAGAATAGGCAGAAAGACTGCACAGACCCTCTTCAACAAAGAAAAGGGAACCAATTAACACAGATACAGAAGGTAATCCTAGACCCCTGAGCTTTGAAGAGAAGGATATAGAAGTGGACTAAACTCCAACGAGTAGGAGAATTTGCATGAAAACACCAAAAAAG